AAAAGCGTTCTCGAAACGATTCAATAAGAAGATGTCTGGGCGGTTTTCATTTCATCGTCTCCTACTACCACTTCCCTAGTATCAGTAAAAGTATTGTCCGTTTTTTTTGTCTCTGTGCCATCATCATTTATATAATTGTTTGGCATTTCCATTCTTTTATTCACTCGACTCGGGTGTCTTCTTTGTGCATCCTTAGTTTTTTCCGGTTTGCGAACCGGCTAACAAGCAATGCGTTTCGAAAGCCGGAAGCGTGCGCTATTTATATACGCCGGTGACTTCTAATGGACGCATTTCGGCGATTCGAGACGAGATTAAATGCGTTTTAGCGACCGCCACGGGTGCAAATTCGGCGCCGAGCAAATCGTCCGTGACTGCCGTTCAAACATCCATTGCAATAATCGCTAATAGTTTATCACTCGACGATAATCTTCCAAACGTTACGCTAACATTTCCGGAAATCATTTAGTATTATTACGTAGTAAAAACATTGAATTCCGGTGCCGGAAAACCGGAAAACATTTTTTATTGTTTTTTATTTTCAATAACAGAAAAAAATTCTTAATAATCACTGGGGCGATCGACAATTTATTATCCTGTTCACGTCCACGTTGAATAAATCAGAATAAATACAAATATTATTTCATTGGTAACATGTTGGTCGCACGGCGGTGGTAGGAAAAAATAAAATATTTTGTGTGAAAACCGACGCCGGAAAAAAAGCAACTATCTGCCTAGTTCGTTTTCTCCAGCTGCGAATGGTGTTGTTTTTGTTGTTGTTGTTGTTGGGGCGGTGTTGTTTTTTGTCGTCGCATGCATGCGATATAGGCATAAGGGATGACGTGGGTGACGCGGACGAAAATAAATCAAATTCGAGGCCGTGATAAATGGCTCTCGGGCGGCGGGAATTTTAGAAAAATTGATATTAAAACATCGCCACAAGGCAAATAATACCCAAAAAATTTTATTATTTAAAAAATAGTTTTCTTTATTCTTTATTAGTTTAATATCAAAACTTTACACTTTGAAGAATACCCAATGGTATCACTTATAATGTATACCTTTCAGGGGTGTAAATGATACGGTGGCGAATTAACTGCAAACCCGCGCAAAGTTTTGTAATATATTCGTCGAGGCGTCGACGCGCGTCGCCTGCAAAACGCACATATAATTTTACAGCCTGTTATGCAACCCAAGTTACAAGTTAACACCCTCAACCCTCTTTACTTTAAACCTACATTATGATAAAATGTCTCTTTGCAACTCGCTGAGCTAAGATTCATCATGTAATGCTTTTATTTCTTGCTACATAGTCATTTATTTTGCACTAGTTAAAAAAACCTGACGTCTATTCATTTAATTTGCATCGCAATGCTTTAAATATTGAGTGATTGAGTGCAAATGAGAATTGTATCTAGTAAAATATTCACATGGCGATCCCAAGGAGGAATTATAAAGACATTAATAATGAAGAGTCATTGCAAATGACATTTTTATGTTCCGTGCAAGCGCAGCTGCAATGAATATAGCGGGCCGGATTGAATTTAAAAACGTATCGATTTGGCGTGTTACGTGTCAAGTCCTTTGGAACGACGTGTCGCGGCGACGTCGAGAGAAACACTTCAAACATTCACCGATGCCCGGCGCCTCCACTTGAAGGATTTAATGGATGACGGAGACGAAAAGCTATATTTTACAAAAGTAGAGAAAATAAGTACGCTCGCGATGAAAAAATAAAACAAACAAACACAAAGACAGTGTGCGCTTGGGTTTGGCTTCGGTTTCGCTCGGCCATTGTTTCTTACCACGCATCTTTTTTAATTAACCCGAAGATCGGGCAAAAAACAGCCGCGCGCCACAAAGCGATGTTGACGCTGTCTGGCGCACAAAATAAAAGTTCATTAATCTTTTTTTGTTGAGTTTCTTGCGTTTTTTTTTTCTTTTCGTGGCTCGTGTGGCTTCTTTCTTCTCGCGGCGCAGTGCGAAAATGAAGCTCAAGGGGGTGGAATTGCAGGGGTGTGAACGCAAAAAGTTGTTTGGAAATTAATGCAAATTTCCAAAACAGCCGCCGAAACAATGCGCGCGCGGGTGTGCGGAAAAAATGAAAAAGAGTTTTATACAAAGCTAAGAATAAAGCTGAATACTTTGTGAGAATGGGCGAGCGGAAACTACTTAGCGCTTTCGGCGCTTAATTCTTTCATTCCGGGCGATGAAAGAAGGAGGAAGAGCATCAGCCGTGTTAATGGCGCGCGCGAGATGCAATTACAGACGGACAAAAAATCTAATTAGCCAAATTGAACGTCGTTAAACATTTGTTTTCGCGCGCAAAACGGACTTTATTTTAAGACTGAATTTATCTCTTCTTTAATCTGTTTAAGGCTAATATTTAATTATATAGATCATATTTTACTTTAAAAAAATTAAATATCTCAAAAACTATGAAAGTTATAAACGTTTTAAGTATTGGGAACCACGCCTACTGTGACGTAATCATGGGCGGAGCTCTCAAAACTTAAATTACTTATAACTTTTAAACTAAAACGCTAAACATGTATTTCTTTCAAATTTAATTTTTATTCTTTATAAATCTAATTAATTAATGAATAATTTTTCTAAAAATCTGAATATTCATAACCTATTTTTCCACTAAATATTATTCATTAAAATAAATTAAAAATCAGTAGTCTGAATCTTAATAAGCTTTGATTTTCATAATTTATGCCAAAAATAAAAGCTCAAAGTTACGAGCTTGCTCGGTGGTCGTATCCGCCCCGCGGACATGTTAATGTTTCCCGTTGAACGCCACTGTTGTACCGTTTTTGTACGCTTTGCGCTTTTTTTCTGCTTGCACCGCCCTGCCACCAATTAAAATTTACTGCGTAAGTTAACTTGATGGGCCGATAAATTACCCTGCATGTTAACGTACTCGCCCACACAGCCTGCAGCCGAAAAATAACCGCGAACAAACAACAACAACAACCCGCCGCCCCCGAAAAAACTTTTTTATTATTAATAATTCGCGCGCATTTGCAACAATTTTAACTTGATTAGTGTTTACCTAACCTTTAAATATCATCACAACTTTATTATTTATTCTCTACTGAGTAATGTTGAAATATTTTTATGACTTTACTTTCACTCGATGAATTTCATAATGCGCACAAAGGTTTTTTTTTAATTAATATGCTAATTTCAACGCGCACACACTTCGAAGCGTATAAAATGTTTAATTAGCTTTTTAATTGGACACAAAACTTGCGCAAGCGTATACGGTATTTATTTCTATACGATTTTGGCTTTAAAATGTTTTTAAAGTTTTAAATTTTAGTCAAAATAAGAAAAATTTATTTCCTTTATTTTATACACTATTTTGCATAAGAGGTAAATAGCACTCTATACATCACTTTTATACTATATTTATTATTGGTAGTACGTCGTGGTGAAAACTGTCAATATCGTGTAATTGTGATCGACGAAAATTAATGCGGCGCCGCGTGCCTAATAAAGAACGTCATTTTCGATTTGCGTCAACACCCCTCCATTACACGTTTTTTCGCCTTGCATGTCCTCATTCGCGTGTTAGTTCTGCGAGTCCTGACTCACTTCCATTTGGCGCTCTAAACCGGCTCCGACCTGGTTTAGATTTCGCGTCGAGTCGCCGGCTGGAATAACAGACTGACGCAAATAAAGCCAGATCCGTTTGGCGATTGTGTCACGTGTGTGTGTGTGTGTGAAGGAAATAAAATCGTACGCGGGAAGTATTCCATCGTTCCCGCGAGACGCGAGGACGTCGCCGGCGCGTTTCCCAGAGGAAACACCTTTGGATTGCCACTTATCTTACTTTCTGCGCGCGCCGGAATCTTCTGGTTTGAATAAAATCCCGGCGACGAAACTCCGAGACGCCGGTTTTACAACAATCGAGATGCCAAATTTGATTGTTCTCAGTTGGATTTATTTTAGATTTTTAGACTCCAAATCTAAAAAAAACAAAAATTTAAATAATTTTTAATTTTTTTATCAAAAAACATTCAATTTATAGACTGGAACAGTTTTTATTTTTTAAATATCATCAAAACTACGTGAGTTATAGACGTTTTAATTTATGAGAGCCACGCCCACAGTGACGTAGTCATGGGCGTGTCCCCTAAAACTTTAATTGCTCATAACTTTTTAATTAAACATCGCAGGAAAGTGATTTTTTTCGAATTTACTTGTGTTAATAGCAAGTATCCATTACGCGTTGTAAATTATCCATTGCACCTCTATAATATGCACCCTATGTGCCAACCCCGAGCGTTTGTGCAAGCATTAGCAAGCCAGCGAGCGTATATTGACACTGTCCGCATGTCAAAGCCAATCAACATATCATATCACTAGGGATGAGGTTTGAAGGGTGACGACGTGCGAACGGATCGATGCTCTAAGCCTCCAGCAGCACTTAAACACCAATTAGATTTTAGTATGTGTGTCAAGGTGCTACTAACCTATCTCAATACGCACGTAATTGTATGCTTTGACAGCAAATAAATATTCGTAACACCCTGAATACATGAATAGCTGCTAGTAATAATGTATGTAATCAATTTAAAAGCTTTTCATCATCAGAATGGCCGAATAGTTTTTGGCCGGCACCAAATTGAAAGCGATTGTTTTCGAATATGTTACCGTAATTGGCTCGTTGGCTCGACGGCGAAAAGTTTGCGCCCCGAAATTTAATATCGGCGAGTAGAGCTGCACACGACCGACAACTGGCAACAATCAAATTTAATTATGGCAGCAGGTGGTAGTTAAAATCGACTCGAACGCCAATTTTAAACCGGTCGAAGTGGGGAACTTTGTGTAAAGTGCACCAACACGCCCGGCGCCTCCACCATCACGTCTTTTAGATTTTACAGCATTACACGCTGTTCCACCTTGAAATCTTTTGTAACAATTCCGCAAAGTTTTTAAGTTTTAATATTTTGTATGCCGATGTTAATTAATGTGTTTTATTCCTTTTTCAGATTACGGATTAACGACCGTGGTTCTGTCGCATTACGGCGGCCGTGAGCATGGTGAGTGTAGGCGTGTTATTTTGTTATTAAGGATATTAAAGATACTAAAACACCATTTTATTATATGATTGGTATTGTATCGTATTGTTTTCTTGGACATGGCGTGTTTTACGCTTTTAATAAATTTGAGTGCGTCTCAAATCCCACAGCGGCGTGCAATAAAAAGGTGCCACGAGAATGTTTTTACGGTCGTGATAACTTTTTAGGGTCGATAATATTGAATATGCTCGGGGATAAAATCACAGACAACTCCACAATTACACGATATAAAATTTATAAACAATCATGGGAGAAAATAGACTGGAAATTTATAAAATTGTTTGTTTGTATGGTAGTTTAGTGAAGGAAGTAACATTTTATGTCGATTAGTTTAGAAGTTATAGGCGATTAAAGTTTAATTTGCTCCGCCTACTACTACGTCATAGTAGGCGTGTCTACACAAACTTTAAACTTAAATATCTCCTAGAGTTTTAAAAATATTTAAAAAAATCAAACTACAATGTGTTCAGTATTTAAGTAGGCATCAAAAGTAACTGAATTCAAACCTAAAAATAAAACTTAATGATTTTTTTTATGTAGGCAACCAAATAAACACTTTCATTTAATTCTACGGTTGCCTATATTATTTTATGGTGCAAACGTAGACCTACTTATTTAGCGTTTCTTGGTATAGGTGTGACGCCATTTTGAATCGGTTCCGAACAAGCTTTAAGACCGTCACGTCCGCATGTGCAGTCATCACTATTAAGCGCGCGGGCCGTGGATATATCCACGTAATATCCGCCCGGGCGTCCCTTCGGCCATACGTTCGCACATTAGCTCCGACGCGAATTCCATCCCCCGAATCTGAATCTCGGCGCCGCATGGTCCATTTACCTTTTATGTATCATTCCCGGCCGGAGCACAAGGCGCTTAAAAGATCGTTTCTATGCCGAAATAAATCTACACGATCATAACCTGGCTGCCGGTTGGGTTGCATAACCTACCAAAGAGTCAACTGTGAATAAGCTCGTAATAAGGGTCTTGGGAAATGAAACGACGAAAGAATCATAATATGTTCTTTGTCGTTTTTGGTGATGTGATATGATATATTACATCCAAGATGGCGGCTGGGTAGTAATAGATTCATTGCATTGATGAATGCAGTCAGTACACAGTCAATAATGTTTGCATTTGCATAAGATCCTAATAATGGCGGCCATCTTGGATGCAAATTCCGGTCGGATGATCCGCAAACATCACCAGCAGTGGCATTCATTACGATGAGATTATTAATAATAGATGATTGACCCCGTCTCGCACCCTGAGGGTTACCACCCCCATTCCACTCTCCCTTTGCCTAAGTTGGAACAGGCACTTTGACGCCATGACATGGCCGATGTGTTTATTGGGCTATTGTTGGCTCTCGCGCTGGGTGCGAAACTTGGATGTCAATTGCAAACGGTTTGCATCTTGCATTCGCTATTATGCACCACTCAATGCAGTTGGGAGTGTTGTGGGTTGCATAATTTCAATAGCACAGGCAGTGCCATTCAAGATGTTCACTTCGTTGTTCAGGTTACGATTTATAATTCAGTTGCACACTTGTAACCCGCGCGAATAATAAATCCAGTCCTAACTGTATAAAGCATTTACCGCTGCTGCCACCAAAAAAACTCGAAAAGCATCTGGCGGCGTATATTTGCATTTTTATTGCGTAAATATGAAAATCAAAGCGTATTGAGCTCGAGTATTAGACTAGTAATAGATTCGGAGATCATTACGTACATAGGTCTACGTTTTTTCATTTTGGTTTTCACGCTGTGGTGGCGTAAGAACTAAAATTTGTTTTTTTTTGCCTCTTTTGATTTTCTGCTGCAAAGACTCGCATTAGGATTTTTACGGCGACCATAACCGTTAGCGGATTCGGTTCGTAACAACCACCCCTAAAAGTTGGAACTCTTGGAAACTCCAACGTGTAATCTCCAGCGTCGGAGTCGTAACGCTTTTAATTATGATTTATGATTTTCGCGACCGTTTTGAAAACATAAAAAAATGATATCCACACGCTAGTTGTAAAATTTTTTTATTTTACTACGAAAACCACCAAACCCCGGGTGTGATGGTTGTGTGAATGTGACAAACGTCGAATTTCATACCAAGAGAGACTTCGCTCGATGTCAATGAAAAGATGGATTGAATGTAATTCTATACGCGAACATTTATAACGCGAATATTAGATTTCGCCATCGAGCCAGCCAAGTTGTGAAGTTCATAAAAATGTGTTTTTTGCGCGCCGTGGCAGTCTATTTTTAAGATCCGGTTTTGATCGCACACGCGCATTTGCAATTTGTACTTTTATCGCTCGCGCAGATAAATCTGAGAAAAATATGATTTATGCGCTTTAATTCGCTGTAGCGGCAGGCGCTCGCTTATCCTCACATTGCCCGGGCAGTTTTCTATATATATAGAGATAGAGAGAATTCCCTTTTTTTTATGTACTTTGACTCGGAACTGCGGAACGCGATCGGGCCACTTTCAGTGCTCGACGCTGGTTGGCGGGCGAGGAAATATTGGAAAGTCTACGCACCATTACCGGTTTTTATAGAAATTATTGAACGGTTTGTACATTTGTATAAATCTTTTCTTTTCCCGCTGAAAGCTCGCCGGAAATTGCTTTACAGGTCAGCGGGAAAAAACAAGCATGAATTTCAATTTGAAAAAAATTAAAAATCAACAATTTTTATATTGGTATTTAAAGATTAATTCATTACTTATTGATTGCAGTTTTTATTTTTTAAATATCTCTATTAGTATGAAAGTTATGAGAGGTTTTAGGTTTGGGAGCCACGCCTACTATGACGTAGTCATGGGCGGAGCAAGTTTAACTTAAATCACTCATAACTCTTAAACTAATTTACTTAGAAAATTATTTCTTTTTTATTTATGATTAATGAATAAATATCTACAAAATAAATAAAAATTTAAGGGTGTTTTTAATATTTAATTAAATTAAAATATTTATACATTTTAATTTAAAATAAAATAATACGCGTTATAATTTTCAAGTTTAATTACTGACGATTTACGAATGCTAAAATCACCACCCGCGGGTGTTTCCGATAGCACGTTGCACCCCAATTTTCACATTTTACCTAATATCGCCCATAGCCGGCGGAGCGATTGTCGCCTTGTATATGGTGTTAAAGAGCACGTAGCGCAATTAAATCGCCCGTGCGCACACCGCCTCCAGGAAATAACGTAATCGTAATAACCTAACGAGAGCTGACTGAATTTTATCTTAATATTTCATCACTTTTACAGCGCGCCCGCGCGCGCGCTCACCGCAAACAAAAAGGTTTCCGAGAAAGTGGAGGCGCCGGGCGCGCGGCCACGTCGAGATAACCAACACGAACACGTGCAGGCGAAGTGTGCAGAGATAATCATCGAAATAATACCGAAAGTAATGCGGCTAGAAAGTGCAATTTGTGATTTTCAACGCGGCTAATTGCACGCCCCTCGGTGGCTAACATGACAGCGAACATAAAAAGATAACTTTCAGGCGTAAACATCCACATTTAATGTGAAAGAAGTTTGTAATCTCGAAAACATTTACACATGTGAAGTATATATGCAACCAGCATTACATTTACTATGCATTGGGTGTTGCCTACGTTTAAAAATTCACGAATTAATTTTGATTCGATTGTTTTTCCACGCGCGAAATCAAAATATTTTAATTTGTTTTTGCGCAGTTCGCTGGCGGTTGGCGGCAACAATGCGCGCGCGTTACAATTACACTTTGGCACATTTACACAATGCGGGCTTGGAGTGGGAGCGGCGGGTGCTTTTGGCATTGTTTCACCCTTGCGGCGTGTGTTTGCTTTTCCAAGCGCAACGCAACACACTATACACTCGCTTATATTAACAAGCGAGCGCGTTTCGCCCACTTGAAATTCTGTAAGATCTATTGTCTGTCATTAAACAATCCTTACTGTTTTGCTGTTGACTCTTTTTTTGTTTTTTTCAATATCGTGTTTTTTTTTATATTTTCATTCGGTAGTTGTAATTGTAATAACATAACCGTAATTTCCATCATCATGCAAGGCGTCGTGATGAACAAAGCAGTGTGAAAATTGCGTAATTAATTTCGCGCCGAATTTTCCGCGCGCGCGCCACACACATAAATAATTGTTTTTATTGTTGCGTCTTGTTTCTGGCGGCGCGGTGAACACAACGGCGCGTAATTGGATATTTTAAATTAGGTTTCGCGAAGTGGCAGAAACTCTCGAAATTGAGTTTCGGATGCGCAACAATGAGGCAACTATTTAAAACATCCGTCTCACTCGCGTGCAATTAATAACCTATTTTTACGTTGATCAATAAATCTCACCAACGACGTTTTTAATTTACAATAAATTTCAATCCAAAAAAATAAAAAAAAATATTAGAAAAATATCTTACATTGAATAAGCTGATTCTATTCTATGCTTAAATCCACAACTAACAGAACACTGAATTGTACGCTTGGTTGCATACCTAGCGGGTAGCTCGTACAAAGTGATTGTAGTGTAGCGCGTCGCGTGTATCCGTCTATATTTGTATTTGTATTCAATTTGCCAAACCGCCCCCGCCGGTGGTGGTGGTTATGCGATGGTGTTGGATTGAATTCCGCGAGGGGGTGAAATGATCCCTTGGGTTATTACGCGTTATGCACTCGAACGTGTGCGGGGCGCGCGTATTGTGGGTTGCGTGAAGTCGATTAATTGCGTGCGTATTATTCGGGTTCAAATTGAAATTTCAGCATAATGGAGCCCCGGCAAACCCCACGTCCAACACAAATGCTAAAATTTATTAAATTAGTATCTATTGCATTAACACCATCTACACGCGAAAAATGTAATCGACTAAACGTAACCTACTTGCATGGAATTTCGATTAAAATGTTTACAAAGTATGGAAAATCCTGTTACACAAAGAAAAAAGTAAAATAAGAAATTTTATGCTTTTGAAGAGTCTTG